CAGGATCCTGTCCCACTTCTTTCAAAACCTTGCCTGTATTAGTTAATCCCCTTGCCATACACACACACACACACACACACACACACAACACAGAACCATTCTTGTTATACATGGCAGGTAGGCTGTACAAAGTTGCCATGACACTGAAGTAGGGAACACTGAACTGCAGCTCTTAGGGGAAACACCGTTAGGTTGCCAGGAACCTATAGTGAGAACATCTTCATCAACTGATCAATATACAACCTTGTCTTCTGTGTGTTTTTGTTTAAAATATTTATTATTATATGTTAAACTTTATTTAACATATATTGTTGGTTCATTAATGTTGAATTCATGACCAGCAGCCACAGTAACTCAAGCCTGAACGAAGCATCTCTAACACATGTATTTTCTCTGTAAGGCATATTACGCCCTTCTTGCATTTACGAATTCTAGCCTGCACTTTACCACTATGCTTGGGGACAATTTTAAACACTAAGATCACCAACAAAAAGCATAGAAATGCAAAAAACATGGCAATAAACAGATCTCAAAAAAGATACTTGTTTATAGTATGAAAAGTGAAACAAGAAAGTAGAACTTCATCTTACTTGATCTCAGTTAGGAATACGTATTTGGGTAACTTGAATATTTCACCACTCTGTATGTCCACGAATGGCTACAAAAGCATCATGAGTATTATTTTGGGGGTTACAAAGTAGGCAAGTAGGCAAATTTACCAACAGAATCTACGAAGAATGAGGGTCAATTGTATGTATATATACATATATACATATATGTTTCCTTCTCCTTAAAGACAGAAGCAGCCTTTAAAACCAATAAATGAGCTCGCAGGATAACTAAGGAAAAGGTGGCCCTGGAAGAAATGGTAGGGTAGAGAATGAAGGAAGAGAAAGAATGTGTGAAAACACAGAACTTTTGTAAATCCTCTTTCCCTTCCGGAATCAAATGTGTCAAATGTGCCTTCCAAGCAGAAGGGCCCCCAGTACAAACCATAAATGAAAATAAGAGATAACATTATCTCACAGCCAACTAAACAACCTTGCATCAGAAATTTACAAGACAAAGCTCTAAATCTGAGGTTCTGGACGTGGGGCAATTCTGACACTGCCCGCCCCCACCACCTTCACTTCACCAAGCCCGGGGGTGAGGGCTGGCCCACTGGCATCCAGTGGGTATATCGAATGGGTATTTGGCAATGTCAGGAGACATTTTTGGCTATGATGACCTAGGGAAAACTGGCATCTACTGGGTAGAGGCCAGTGACGCAGCTAAACATTCTACAACTCACAGGTCAGCTTCCCACAACAATTATCCCACTTAAAATGTCCATAGTGCCAAGGCTGAGAAATCATGCTCGTAAAAATTCCACTGATCACCTTTAACCTGAGTGTGTTCAATGGACAACTGTAAACCAAACCCAAATACAGGGCTGCCCCATACTGGGAGCAAGGAATAGAAAGCGGCTTCTAAGCCAAAATACTGAAAATATTGCTCAGTATTAGTCATCTTTTCCTCTACCCTCTTGGACTTGTAACCTGAACAGCTGGTAGCACTGGGGGTAGATAAATGAAAGAGGAAGTAATTTGCAAGTCAGTGGCTTCAAATGCAAATGTTACAATCTATACACATGCGCTGACATTGATGATACGCATTAGTGACCTGAAATAGTTCTATTTTCACTTTACAATTTACTATTTTCATTTTCAGATAAATGACACCTCAAATATTTATCAAAATTAGGAAACCCCAAGCAACCTTTATAAAATTTATTAGAGATGTGGAGTCAAAACATTTCATCAGCAAACTGACGCCACTGACAGAAGAGGAGGGCTATGCTGTGCTTAGGGGCTCCACCTTCCCCGTTCCTAGTTCCAGGAAGTATCCACTGGAGTGGGAACAGTGGACTGGACCTCGGTACCAGCTCTTCCCTCACTGACTGGGTAACCCAGGACCACTCACAATCTTTCTACACTTCTGTCTTTACATCTGTTAAAGTTTTCTTCCAGGTAACATTCATTCTATAATTTTAATGACGTGGTGCAAAGAGAACCGAGGCTAAAAAAATAAGAAACCTCAAACAGTTAATCCTTCTTTCTCTTCAAATCATTCCTCCCTCTGAAACGTTTTATTTTCTCCTTTTCCAGTCAAGGTTCCCCATGATATTGTTTTTACTTTGATTTGCCTCTCATTAAAAAAAGTTCTTTTAGTTTCAACAAGTATGCATCCACTAAAAATGGCTCAAGAATAAACTATTTCATGTAAATGGCTTCATTCAACCAAAAAGATCAAAGGCGTCTGGTATTTTTTTTTTCAAAATAATCTGATCCCCACAACGGAAAAATGAATCTTTTTTGACTACCATATTATCACAACAGTTCTGAAGAGTATTTAGCAGGGTAGTATAATCAATTGTATCAAGTGACTTAAGCATTATGGATCAGATAGAATAAAAATCCAGGATGGAAACAATCAGGATTTTAAAAAACATATCAAAGATATTTAACATATTTAAGACATGGAAAAACTACTGATTTCTGGAATGAAGCTTTTTTTTTTTTTTTTTTTTTTTTGCTGTATGCCGGCCTCTCACTGTTGTGGCCTCTCCCGTTGCCGAGCACAGGCTCCGGACGCGCAGGCTCAGCGGCCATGGCTCACGGGCCTAGCCGCTCCGCGGCATGTGGGATCTTCGCGGACCGGGGCACGAACCCGTGTCCCCTGCATCGGCAGGCGGACTCTCAACCACTGCGCCACCAGGGAAGTCCTGGAATGAAGCATTTTTATTACACTGCAGGTATGCATGCATACGGGCACATACTCCCTCCCTTTCAGGAGATAAAGCCAAGAACCAAAACATGATTATAAGTTATCGGCCACTCCAACACTACAGAAGTAGATTCCACAAAGATAAAGAATGCAATTAAACTTCAGAACACCAAACCAAATGCCTCTGTTCCTACCTTCAGTAAAAGACAAACATAAAAAGACTGAAGACGCAATCAGAAAGATTAGAAATTTAAACGTTCAAGAAACGTCAGAGGTGTTTTTAGACTAGCTAGTCTTAATCCTGCCCTAAGCCCAGAGATTCTGACTTCGCTTATGGACTCATAAGGGGCACGGAAATCCTTTTTTTTTTTTTTTTAAAGATATTGAAAAGTCCCTGATGATCAGTGAGGTGTGAAAGACGCTACCTTAAAGTGTTTTCAAATGCATATGAACCGGCCAGGCACCAGGGCTGGCGCGCCTCTTGCAGAGCAGCACTCAGCTGGGGCCCCAGGAACAGTGACCCGTCCCGGAGGCCTCAGCACAGGCGCAGCGACGGGCGCAGGGCAGGTCAGCGCTCACCTTCTCCACGTGCAGCCGGGACAGGAGCACCGGGCTGCTGGACTGCGGGCTCTTGTTGTACGACGGGCAGTACCGGTCCGGGTCCCTCCACTCTGGGAGCCGCCGCTGGCCCTTCCGGTCCCGGTAGGCGCAGGCCCGGGCGAGGACCTCCTTGGACAGGTGGCAGGACGTCCGCCCGCACATCTTCGGCGCTGCGAACACCGCGGCCCTGGACGCGAGGACGGGGTTCGAGCGCCTCACACGCGGGTCTCGGGCCTCTGCCCCCAGGGTCTCCCTCCGCGCCCCGCTCCGCCCCACCCTACCCCCACCCCAGGCCCGCGCGCCGGGCTCACAGGGCCACCTCCCGCCCCGCGGCCCGGCCGGGCGAGGAAAGGAAGCTTCTCAGCCGGGGGCTCCCCCTGCCTAGCCGGCCCCGGCCTCCCCAGCTCCTCCCCGCTCCCTCCGGGACCGCTGACCCTGAGGACCGCGCCCCACCCCCACCCCCGCCGCCCGTCCGGTCTCACTTCCCCCTCAGGCCCGCCGCCCTCCCAACCCGCCTCGGCTCCGCTCACCCCCGCTCAGCCCCCGTCCGTCCCACTTCGCCTCCCCCTCAGGCCCGCCTGCCCGTCCGCCTTTCCCCACCTCACCTCCACCTCAGACCCAGCGGCCGCGTCGCTCTCCGCGCCACCGCGCTCCCCGCACCAGGCCCCGCCCCCAGCAGGCCGGCCCCGCCCCCCAGCGGCCGGCGGTTCCGCCTAGCGCTGGGGCGTCTTCCCCTCCCGCATCTTGCAGAGCGTTGGGACTGCGGAACCTGACTCTCCTGAAGGAGCCCGAGCAGGAGCCCCTGATTGTCTCGGGGACTCGTCCTCCGTGTGGGCCGTTCCCCTGCGGGGTTAACTCCCTCCCAGGGCGAACCTCGGGAATGGGCTGGGAAGGGTCCCGAGGGTGCAGGCTGGCAGAGACCCTAGATGCGACCCGGAGGCCTACAGCCCCTTCTCCGTACAGCGGGAACCACGACTCCAGGGCACCAGGTTCTCGTAGGGGTGAAATCGGGAAATTTTCTTTACTTCGCAGCCCTACTAACGGCCCATAGTTTAGGGCAAAAATTGAAAAACCATCAGGAAAACTGCCATGGATCACTCAAGTCACTCTGAAACTTCGGTGGGCACCAGAACACTTTCCAAGGCCCCACCTTTCCCCCACCCCCAAACCTGAATCTCTAAGGGTTGAGGCCTATGTTTTTTAAAACTAGGCTTTACAGGTGTATTTCAGCCACAAAATTGGCAAAACACCTGGCTTGTGTTTAAAAGCCCAGCAGAGGAAACCAGGGACTTCTGCTCTGTAAGGGCTGTTCCTCCGGCAGAAGTGCAACGGCCACCTCAGACCTGGCACTAGGCAACAGCCGGGTAATCCACCCAGACCCTCCGGCCTCACTGATCTCCTACAAAAGGAGGGTGGTTTAAGGGCAAAGACTCAACGCCTGCCAGCTGCTGTCATTCCCTCAGCAAACCTGCACCGCTCCTGCCCCTGGGCATGGGGCTCGGGCGGGGGCCAGTGAGAGGGTCCTGCCTCATGCTAAGTACAGTGGCAAAGGGCTGCAGGTGCAAACGGGACGCAGAGGTGTCCTTGGGGGTAGGGACGCCGGACCCCTAAGCACGAGTCTGCAGAAGTAGCAGTCATTCAATAAATACATGCTGATTTTATTTATAGGGATAAGATGGTTCCTTAGGGGATCAATTCAAGAGGTGGTGCAAGCACTTTATTCATTTGAGATGTCCCTTCCCTGGCAGGCAAGGCAGCAAGTTCTAGGACAAGCTAAAACCACCCCCCTCTTTCAAAAGTTACCCTCAGCAGGGAGTTTTGGGGCAGGGGTTAAATTAAAAAAAAAAAAAAAAAAAACCCTCATTGATTCCTCATTGTTTTTGAATACAATTGGCTTGGAAAGGACTTTCCACTGGGTTCATAAGGAAGGCCTGACTTCTGCACAGTGTTGGGGGGAAAGGGTAGGACTTGGTCCTATGCAGGCTGGCCCCTTAGCCCACAGATGCCAAGACGATGTCCACTGGCAGCTCCTCCGAACTTCTGGCTGTCACCTGCATTGTTACTGTGTCCAAAAGCAGCAGCCGGGAGCGCACCAGGATGTCATGGCCCCCCCGGAAGACGCCTGGAAGAGAAGAGAAAAGGACAGGTGTGTAAGGCAGAAGGGGGCTGAGAGCTGGGCTGAGAGGGCCACCTGCAACAACTGGCGAAGGCAGCTCTGGGGCTTGAGATGGGAGGGGCCCGCAACCAGGAGCACTGGCTGAAATCCCTGCGTGAGGCCCTGGGCACGTCACTTTACCTCTTGAGCTGCAGCATCATCAATGATCTCAGTAGAGATCACTCTACTAGCCGTATTTCACGCTTCGGCCAAGCTAAAATGAATTAGTGGACACATATGGCTTGTGTCTGACATCACAGGGGCGCTCACACACGCTAATGGAATCTAAGAGCACAGACGAAGGGACAGCCCCACCATGACAAAACCACAGCGCAGGTGTCTGCAAAACCCGGGGGACTGGGTTGCTTCACTGTGGTCAGAAATGATGGGCTTGGGGGCTGTCAGCTGTGAGCAGGGCACTGAAGCAGAACTACTTCCTAACCCTGTTTATAAACACTCAGAAAAAAAAATTTCCTTTCGTTCATTGTTTTAGGTGTGGTAAGTGTACTGCTAATGACAAAGGGTCATTAGCTTTTAGAGAAGCATACAGATCAGAAACATTTACATATGAAATGTCTATATATGGAGTTTGCTCTAAAATAATCTGAGGGTGGAGAATGAGTATAGGTAGAGACACTATCTGTTGTTGCAAATGGAGGATGAGTACTTGGGGGGGTCCCATTTTTGTGTAACTTTGAAAATTTCCGTAAGTGCTTAAAGTCCCACTCCTATTAGAAAAGACCAACCAACCCAATAGAAAATTAGACAAAGGATCTGAAAACAATTCACAGAAAAGGAAATACAAATGGCACTTTGCATTTGAGAAGATACTTAACTTCCTTCAATATACAAGAAATGTAAAGTAAAACTATGCGGAGGGTTTCCCTGGTGGCGCAGTGGTTAAGAATCCGCCTGACAACGCTAGGGAACACGGGTTCGAGCCCTGGTCCGGGAAGATCCCACATGCCGCGGAGCAACTAAGCCCGTGCGCCACAACTACTGAGCCTGTGCTCTAGAGCCTGCCAGCCACAACTACTGAGCCCGTGAGCCACAACTACTGAAGCCCGCATGCCTAGAGCCCGTGCTCCGCAATAAGCCACCGCAATGAGAAGCCCACGCACTGCAACGAAGAGTAGCCCCCGCTCACCGCAACTAGAGAAAGACTGCATGCAGCAGCGAAGACCCAACACAGCCAAAAATAAATAAATAAATTTATTAAAAAAAAAAAAAAGACTAGGACAATCTAAATGTTCATCAATACATGAACTGGTTCTACAAAATATGGTCCATCCATAGAATGGAATAGTAATCAACTACAAAAAAGACTGAGCACACAGTTTGGGATGATGAAAAAGTTCTGGAGTTGGATGGTGTGATAGTTGCACAACAATGTGAATGTACTTAATGCCACTGAACTGTACACCTAAATATGGTTAAAATGGTAAATTTCATGTTATGTTAAGAAAAAAAAAAAAAAAGGAGGAAGCTCTGAGTATCGATAAGGAAGTTCTCCAAGATGCACCGTCAAGCGAAAAACCAAGTGCAGAACAACATATACACCACCTGTATGTAAACATTTGAGTTTAAAAAGGGAAATGCGTACACATTTGCTTTTACATCCCTATGATCACAGGAAGGATATATAGCGTGCTTTATAATATAACACTGGTTGCCTGGTGGAAGGGAAACTGAATGACTGGCAGCAACTGTTGGGAGGGAGACATTTCGCTGCAGGTCTCTTTATGCCCTGTGAACATTCAACACTGTGAATTCTGAATTCCCAGGTTCCCAGGGGGCGCCCTCAGCCCAGGATGCGGTAGCATCAAGGCCCTTCCCACCAGAAATGCCGCTTACCTGCCAGGAGCAGCGTGTGCGTGTTCTTGTTGTCTGGCACTTTGTCTGACCTCTCACAAGGGTGCATTCCTAAGAACTTCACAATATTGCCCACAGCCTCTGTGGGGAGAAATCCCGGTGTTATTAATCCACGATCTCCCCCTGGTGCCACCACCACTCCCCCATCCCCTGACCCCACTCTGCAGTTTTTAATGAAGTGGCATCTGAAGTACGTGCTCTAGACATGGCCCTGGATCTTTGGGGACTTGGGGGCAGGGGACGGGGGGAGCTCTTCAACAGTAGCCAAGGATCTTGTAAGGCAAGCAAGCCGGAAATGGCATCCCCAGGATTTACCTTCAAGTGTCTTGATGGTGGACAAGGTGAATGTTTCCTCCTTCTCAAACTCATCCCCTACCTCATCCCAGGCTGCTTCAAAGTTCAGCTTCATGACCTTTTGGATGTGATCAGCTATCGTGACTTCCAGATCTTCCAGCTGGGGAGATGCAGGGGCGCGTTAGGCACACAGCTCTAGGGGAGAGACACCTCCGAGCCTCTGCTCCACTCTGGCCACCCGCCCCTTCCCACCACGCAGCCACAGGTGCTCACAGCCAAGTGGTGGCCCCTCAGCGGAAAACCCTCACCCGTTTACAGCCTCAGTATCTGTGGGGACTGGTTCCAGGACCCCCTCGGATACCAAAATCGCAGATTCTCAAGGCCTTTATATAAAATGCTGCAGTATTTGCATTTAATCCACACACATCCTCCCTTATACTTCGAATCACCTCTAGGTTACTTATAATATCTGATACAATGTAAATGTTATGTAAATAGTTGTAAGTACAATGCAAACACTATGGAAATAGTTGCCTCGTGTGGAAAACTCAAGTTTTGCTTTTTGGAATTTTCTGGAACACCCCCCACCCCAATTCTGAATACTTTCTATCTGTTGGTTGAACACGTGGAGGCAGAACCAACAGATGTGGAGGGCCCACTGTCCTCATCCTCGGGTGGCAGCTATGAGAACACATCACTCTGAAGCCTAGAGTAAGTGCCAGACTGGACGGGAGCGAGGCCTGCATCCTGTGACTCAGCCGTGTCCTCCCTGGGGCCGACACATTGTACTGCCCCCCACCTTGAACTAACTACATAAAGGTTCCCCATTCATTCACCCAACAGCTCTTCACTGAGCCCCCACCCCTGTGCACGTGTAAGGTGTTCACAAGCAGGACTCAGGTCCTACGGTAGAAGCTATGCCTCAGACCCAGCCCTCCTGTCCTGGGGCAGTTCCCGCCCTTAGGTCATTGCTGGCTCAGGGAAGGCCCATCCTCAACAATGGACCTGGGAGGACACAAGTGACCATCAGCTGTTATTCGGTGACTGCCCCTCTGGACATGAGGGCTCTGATAATCTCCATGCCAGGTTTAGTATCAGGGTCTGCACTCAGATGGCACTGAGCCACTGTGACCGGGGCAAACCCCAGAACAACCCTGCACTCAGTTCCATGCAAGCTCTGAGAGCTGGAACTGGAAGGGACGTTTCAGTGCATGAAAGGACTGCCCAGCAGATGCAAACTGATCCAATTTCTCTAGAAAGCAATTTGACAGTATGAATCAAAGTCCTTTTTTTTTTTGGCTGTGTTGGGTCTTCACTGCTGTGCACGAGGTTTCTCTAGTTGTGGCGAGCGAGGGCTACTCTTCATTGTGGTGCACGGGCTTCTCATTGCGGTGGCTTCTCTTGTTGTGGAGCATGGGCTCTAGGGCACACAGGCTCTAGAGCAAAGGCTCAGTAGTTGTGGCGCACGGGCTTAGTTCCTCCATGGCATGTGGGATCATCCTGGAGCAGGGCTTGAACCCATGTCCCCTGCATTGGCAGGCGGATTCTTAACCACTGCGCCACCAGGGAAGTCCCTCAAAAAATTCTTAAAATCAGACTTAGCCTTTGACCTAATTATTCTACTTCTAGGAATCTGTCCTAAGAAGATAACTTGAAATGCAGATAAAAATTTGTACCCAAAGGGATGCTTAATGTAGCATTTAAAAAGTGAAAATTTGGGAATTCCCTGGCAGTCCAGAGGTTAGGAGTCCACGCTTCCACTGCTAAGGGCCCAGGTTCAATGCCTGGTTGGGGTACTAAGATCCCACAAGCCGTGCAGTGCGGCCAAAAAAATTTTTTTTTAAAGTGAAAATTTGGAATCACAAATGCCAAGCGTTTAAGGAATACAAGGTCAAGTGAGTTAGGATATATTAAGATAAGGGAGTATCTTAAAGTCATTAAAAATTGTGTTTATGAAGTATTTGTAATGGCAGGAAAATACACTCTGGTTCTAAGTGAGCACAGCAAGATCTGTAATGTACAGAATAACCGCAATGATACAGCTGCCCCCGCCCCCCCCAGTCATTCCCAAGGACTATGGGTAATGTTTTCCTGTTTCTGTATACTTTGTTTTTGTATTTCCCAAGTTTTCTTTTTACACACGAACATGTATATTTTTTTTAACTTTAAAAAAAAATTCTTTCAAAACCAAAACCAGCAAGAAAATGCTTCAAGACTGGCTGTCAGCTCCTGAAGCCTCCTTGCCCCAGCTTCTTACCACATACTCATCCTCATAGCCTTCGTCGTCGGTCTCCCCGGTGGTGGGATCGCAGTCCTTGACAGTGAACTTCATCATGCAGCTGAACGTGCAGCCCACTGTGGGGAGGGAAGGCCGGGCAGTCGGGCGAGGTCCTCTGTGGGCGGGTGGCCACAGCCTGCCCTTTAGGCCTCACCTGCATCTGCACTAGAGGCACATGCCACCCGGCCCCACAAATCTGGACAGAGGGCACCGGCTTGTAGAAGGCAGGAGAGCCAGGTAGCAGCCCCCAGGAGTTGCCCTCACAGGGAAGGAAGACAGAGGAATGCAGAGATGCTGCAGGGTGCCTCTTGGAAAAAGCACCTGGTTTCTTTGGTTGGAGTGGACCTGGGACGGTCCATGTTTGTACCTGTGTCTGGGCCTTCCTCTGTGCTCTCTCCTGGTACAATGAGAGAGTCCTGGTTTGAGGACCAGGCGTCCTACCAGCCACGTGAACTCAGACAAGCCATTTGACCCGAGTCTTACTTCCCTGCTCCCCAGGGGTCTATGAGGAGGAAGTGAGCGGATGCGTGAGAAGCCCCAGGACTTAGCCGTCCTTCTCTTCTTCTCGGGACTGACCTCAAGGAGCTGAAGCTCTGACAGGAAACAAACAGCTGGCGCACAAGCCACCCACCCCACCCCCAGGGGCTCCCACAAGGCCAGGGGGGCATCTGCAGAGGGGCTCACCCGCCGTGGGGTCTTCCTTGGGCAGGGCCACCAGCGTGTAGCAGGTGCCGGGCTGATTGTAGGGCAGGCTCCGGGCGGGCACGTAACACAGCACCTCGTAGGCCTCCGTGGGCTCCATCTGCACTGTGACGTTCTCCAGAGTCTGGTCGTTGAGCGTGTTCGTGCAGTCAAACTGGACCAGGGAACGGGGGGTCAGCGCTGAGACACTGCCCTGGACCCAAGCCTGCTGCACAGGAGCAGCCAGGAGGTCCTGCCTCTCACCCCAGGGCCACGCCGACGCCCATCCCAGGCCCCCGTCCCAGGCCCCGTGTCTGCACGTGGACACTCAGGAGCCACAGAGGCCCTGCATCAAGGACTCGAGGGACACAGCAGCTGGTCGTGGATCTGGCATCGGGCTGGGCTCCAAGCACCGGTGTGGGGTGCCAGGGCCCTGCGGGAGGGCCTCCCCTCGGCTCACCTGGAAGACCATGTGCTCAGGGAAGGTGTGTTTGGTGCAGCGGATCACGTACTCTGTCTCCGACTCAGTGAGGGCCACGGGCTCAGGCGAGGACTTGAAGAGGGGCCCCAGCCCCTGGAACTCGGGCACTGCCGCCAGCTGCTCTGAAACCCCCAGGCCACACGCTCACTCAGCTGCTCAATCCTCAGGCCTGGTCCTCAAGCTCTCCCACCCACTGCAGTGGTCACTCCCGATTTCCCGAACAAACCCGAGCGTTTCCTCACCTCCCTCACTGCTCAGCTTGTGCCACCCACATGAAACACCCCGCCCCGCTGTCCCACACAAGACGCCAGAGCAACCAATGGACATCAGGCCCAACATCCCAGGCCTAAGCCATTTGGAGACTCCCTCAACCTTAGAAGCTCAGCAAGGATTCTTAAAAGAGGGGGACTGGGAAAAGGCTACGAGGAGCTGAATGCTGTGATGGCCACGGAACCAGGTGAAAGAACAAACTGGTCTTCGACATGGGGCAGTTAAGACGGTGGCCCAAAAGGACAGGCTGCAGATTCAGAGTGTTGCAGAAAACCCAACTTGGTGTGGACGGTGGGCGTTTGGTAAGGCCTCTCCCTGCGGCTCACAGCCAGGTTCCAGCCCTGGGGAGTCCAGGTGAACAAGGCGTCTGGCAGCTGCCCCTATTCTATGGCAGGGGCAGAATTCCCCACAGAGTGGTCATGAATCACCTGTGTCAGAATTACCTGGGGGTGAGGGCTTGTTAACAACGCAGATTCCTGGACCCATCCCAGATCGGCTCTATCAAAATTCCTGGGTTTGGGATCCACCAATCTGCATTTCTAACAAGTTTCCTCAGATGACTCTGATGTATACTGATATCTGAAGACCACTACTCAAGATTTTTAACTTGTCTTCCCAGTTAAATTGAACTCCATGTGGAAAAGAACTGTGCCTGAGGCCAGGGATTTGATATTCTGCCTGAGCAGGTACTCGATTCACATTTCAGGGACAGGGAGCGAAAGAAGGCATTATTATTATTTGTCCTTCTCCCCCCACAAAGAGGCAGCCTGTGTGCCTGCTTCAGCCGTCCGAACATGCAGGCGATAAGAAGCCCAGAGAGAGCCAGCTTACGTATTAGGAGGCACATTCAGGCCCTCTGTGGGCATCAGCCGCCACAGTGCTTTTCTATGGGAATTGATTTCATTGGGCATCAAGTTTGCGGACACGCTGCCCCTTACTGCCTGGGGAACTCTGCTAGTAGCTATAAACTACCGCCCCTGAGTTTCAGACTCTTCATCAATAAAACAGATACAATAATCTGTCCACAGGGTTGCTGTGAAGATAGAAGAGGCAATAAAGGTCTAGATCTAGCAACGAACCTGGAACTTAACACGTGATCAATAAACATTAGGCTTCGGAAGGTTGTTTACAAATGGGCTTGAGGCCCTGGAAGACTCCAAAGGAGTCTCCCCTGGAGGGCGTGGCAGAACAACGGCCCCCAAGATGTGCACGAGCTAATTCCCAGAACCTGTGAGTATGTTCCCTCACTTTGCAGAGATTACGTTGCATCTTGAGCTGGGGAGCGTCTCCTGAATTATCTGGGTGAGCCCAAAGTGACCACAAGGTCCTGGTGAGAGGGAGGCAGGAGGGTCAGAGGCAGAGAGATGTGACTGTGGCTGTACTTCTGGCTTTGAAGACAGAGGACGGGGGCTCTAGGCAGCGAACGTAGGCGGCCGCCAAAGACGAACCCCTCAGAGCCTCCAGAGGGAGCTCGGCACCAACACGGCGGAACCCATTTTGGATTTCTGTCCTCAGAACAAGGTAATACATTTGTGTTACGTTAAGCCACTAACTTCACGGTAACTTGTGACAGCAGCAAGAGAGAACTAACACACAGGAAAAGTTTCGGATTACAGTGATCCCACTCAGCTCAGGATCCTAGTTTTGCTGACTCTGAGACAGTATGCTGATGGAAGACAGGGTTCGGGAAGGGAATGGAAAAGGTGGGATTTTGTTTAACTCGACAATAATTGGGAGCCTACTGTGAGGAAGGAAGGCACTAAGTGCAATGACAGAGAATATAGACGACAGAACGTGGAGAACTGCACAGGACCACGGAGGAGAAGAGAGGAGCTCGGGGAGGGCATCACCAAGGGCGAGGGACACGTGCTAGGCCTCAAAGGTAGGAATCTAGTGGATAACGTGGTCTGGCAACTGGACACGCAGCCTCTCCCCTTAAAAAATGCAGAGGGACAGATGAAAACCTAAACAAAACCCTGCAAGACAACGTGGACGGAACACATCTGGAACCCAAGACAAAGGACCGTGTCCCTTGAGTCAGCTATATGGCATCAGACATCCGGAACTGGCCTGGGCCTCAGGGAACTGAGCCTCAGAACCAGGGCCGAGGCAGCTCTGAGCCAGTTGGAGCTGGATCTTAATTCCACCGCCACCCCCGCACCTCCCCTTCTTGCTGTGCAAACTTGGGCAGATCACTGTCTCTCTCTGAATGTCCGAATCTTCCAATATCAAATGGACCCAATAACCTCCACCTGAGGGTCAAACATGCTGTCTAAACACTCTCAGAGCCCAGCACTCAGGAGAGACTCAACCCATGACAGTTCCTACTCTTAATTCCCTGGAGAAGAACCGCTACCCTAGCCGCGGCCCCGGGAAGCCCCGCCAAGCACCACTACTCACCTTGGAAGATCTCCTGCCGGGTGGCTGCCACCTTCTCAGGCTGCTTGGCTGCTGTGATGGGGGTGCTTTCTGCAGGAACAAACATGCATGGTGACCCACAACTCCAGGGACGGGCCAGGGTAGTGTTGACCACGGTGCTGTTACTCAGGGATTATAACTTCCACCCCGGATAGTGTGAAGTACAGAGCACGTGAGGAAGAGAGCAGGTGTCTGTGCCTACGTCTTCATTTCCTGCAGCCAGAGGCAGATGGGATAACTCCCTCCGCCCAGTACAGCCCCATTCATCCTGGGCAGGTTTAGTGACTTTGCAGCCAACGCAGACCCTCCAGCGGAGGCCTGGACCAGAGGGCCTATGAAAGGAGTGCAGGTGTTACTTACCTGTTCTCTGCTCTGCCATGGGTGTGGTGGCCAGGGGCACAGACTTGAGGTCAAAAGGCTTTTCCGATGGTTCTAGAGTATACTGCTGCAGAGCCCTCTCCAGACCAGGGATGGACACGGTCAGACCTAGAGGCCAGTGGGAGACTGAGGTCCTGGGGTCGAGGTTGTAGGACCTTGGGAAACCACTTAGGCCTCTGAGGTCCCACTTTCTCATGACATCGTCCTTTGCAGGACCGATGTGGGGAGTAAACGGACATAGGAGAGGGACTTATAAAGGGTAAACCACTCTGCAAATGGAGGCTCTTATGACTAACTAGTGTTTCAATTCACTGGGCTGTTTCCACCCACGGGGCTGTGAACGCAGGGCCCTGGGTCTCCTGAGATCACAGTGATGCTGTGCAGTTGCCATGAAAGCCCAGCCGAGAGCGTCTTGCCTCCGAATTCCCCTGCCTGGCGAGACTGCAGCTCCGTTACGGGGCTGGGTCAGAGTCAGCCGGGAAAAGACTCACCGTTTAGGATATAGCCTGCATTGAGGGCCTTCTGCTTCTGCTCCAGGACACTGAGATAGAAGGTGGCCCGGTCCCTTACTTCGTTGTCATCGTCCATCACACACCTGTGGCCAGAACACAAGGTCCTCCTGACAAGGGCCCCATAGGGTGGCAGGAGGGATGCTGCAGGGCTTCAGCAGAGGTCAGTGAGAGGAAGCAGGTCTCTTAAAGCTCAGTCCTCGGATGTGGACCCAGGCATCAAATGCCAGAAGGGCCCGCGGGACTCTAATTAACTAGGAGGTGGCTGTATTCATACTCCCTGGACCCTCTCCCCAGAGCCCACCCAGTAAGGGAGGCAATCTCCTATATCCACAGCATACATCACAAAAGAATTTAATATGACCCAACAATTCCACTCCTGGGTATACACACAAAAGAACTGAAAACACGTCATACAAAAAGTCGCACACAACTGTTTACAGCAGCACTAGTCACAACAGCCACGAAGTGGAAACAACCCAGATGCCTATCAACGGATGTACCGACAAACAAAATGTGGTCTATTCATGCAATGGAATATTATCTGCCCATAAGAAGGAATGAAGTTCTGGCACATGCTACAACACGGATGAACCCTGAAAACATCATGAAGAAGCCAGACACATGAAAGGCAACATTCTGTATGCCTGAGTTTATATGAGGTGTCCAGAACGGGCAAATCCAGAGCCAGAAGGAAAGCGAGTGGCTGACTAGGGCTGGGGGGCTGGGGGGAATTGTGATGACTATTCATCGGTACACTGTTTCTTTTGGGGGTGCTAAAAATGTTGTCGGGGCTTCCCCAGTGGTCCAGTGGTTAGGACTCTGCACTTCCACTGCAGGGGGCACAGGTTCCATCCCTGGTCGGGAACTAAGATCCCACAAGCCATGCGACATGGCAAAAAAAAAAAAAAAAAAAAAAAAGTTTTCAACTTAGACTGTGGCAATCATTATGCAACTCTGAATATACTAAAACCATCGTATTATACATTTTAAATGGGTACATCGTATGGGTCTTGAATTATATCTCAATAAAGCTGTTTTTTAAAAATAGAAAACACCTCAAATTAACGCCTAGGTGGAGGGATTTTTGCATGACATTATTTTTCATGCTTTTCTTTTTTTTTTTAATTAATTAATTTAGGCTGTTCAGGGTCTTAGTTGCGGCATGCAGGATGTAGTTCCTCGACCTGGGATAGAACCTGGGCCCCTTGCATTGGGAGGGCAGAGTCTTACCCACTGGACCCCCAGGGAAGTCCCATACTTTTCTGTGTTTCCATTTTTTCCTATAATCAATAGTTGTGTATCTTTTCTCCCCTTTTTCAATTAAAAAGATACAAAGGACAGCGGCCTGGGCCCAAGGGAACACTTGTCCACCAGGCCCGTGGCCTGGACTCACCTCTTCAGCAACACCAAGATACTGGGCAGCATCTCTTCGTTCTGCGCTCCGAACTTGGCCAGAGCACTGACAGCGCCTGTGTTTACGAAGCAAATACGATTTACTGCCAGGGCTCGGAACGGGCCATCCAGAGCCAAGCAGCCCCGACCCAGCAGGCCCAACCCGACACCATGAAACAAGGAGCCTCAGTCACGTGGGCACCACCCGGCCTCAACTCCTCGCCTCTCACGGGGAAGGCAGCCCTGTTCTTGCGTCCCAGGAGTCCTTTTCAGTATTAACTAAGAAGAGGCCACGAGAGCTGCCCTCAACTTCTGTATCCAAATGGCCTCAGCTCACAGTGAAGCAGTACACGACCATAAACAAGAGAACAAACTACCACTGAATGAGTAACAACTGCTGAAAGAGGAACATCTGTCCAGAGAGGGCTTGAGAAAAAAAGAGCAATAAATTAAAAGTAAAATTAAGAATATGATGGTTGCACGTTGAATTGCACACTCATTTAAAAGAGTGAGTTTTATCGTATGTGAATTATCTCAACAAAGCTATTACTAAAAATAAAAAACTAAACACCAAGAAGAAAGAAAGAAAGAAAGGAGGAAAGAAAGGAAAAAGGGAGCGAGAAAGAGAGAAAGAAAGTTAAACGACGACATATAGTGACACTTAAAAACAAAAAAATCACTAAGCCGAATTAGAGGTTAAGAACCATTCACCTAGATGACGCCCAAACATCTAAGGTCCTTGCTACAAGATTATAAAACACCGAGCTTGTGAGGCAGGTGCCCGTGTCCCCCCGGGGGCTCAGGGCCCTTTGCTGGGGGGTCTACTGCAGGGCAAGCCCGGGGCCCAGGGGCAGCCCTGCTGACCCACCTGCCCGGACCTCCTCATGCTCCAGGACCACTCGGTTGTAGATGAAGCGGATGTACTTGGAGGGGTTGTTGGTCTTGGGCCCCTCCTGGCCCAGGAGGTGCAGGATGCGCGTGGCCAGCACGGTGAACTCGCAGTCCTCGATGAACTCACACAGGTGCGACAGCCCCGTCTCCTTGCTCTCCGAGTTCTCCTCGATGATGCTGATGATGCAGTCCACAATGGCCCGCTTGTACTCAAAGCCGCCCTGCAGCACGAGGGGCGAGCTGAGTGCCGAGGCTGCTCTCTCCAGAGCCTAACGGGACCCGGCACAGCGGTCCAGGCACTGAACCCGGTGACGAGGGCCCGGCTCTCCCGGCCTCTACCTCCCTTTTGTGCAAAACAAAAGGCTCGGGCAGAATGCTCGCTGGGGCCCTGCCGGTTCTAAGAGTAGATGGCTTAAGAGAAATATTTGGGACTTCATTTTCTTTCCAAGTTTGAGATAAAGGCAGAATGGGTGATGTGGATGCTGGAGGAGTGGGGTGTTAGTGTTTAATGGGAACAGAGTTCAGTTTTACAGTATGAAAACGTTCTGGAAGTTAACTGCACGCCAGTATGAATGTACTTCACAATACTGAACTCTACACTTAAAGACAGATAATAGAATTCTATGTCGTGGGTATTTTATGACAGTTTAAAAGAAGGCAGAATAGGGCAGTAGAGAGACAAAAGATCCTGGGTCAAATCTATGCTCTGCCACTTACAGACTTTAATAACAGAAGTGGCAAGTGTGATACCCGCTAGGCGCCCGGCCGTAACCCGGCAATGCGCAGCACACGGGATGGGATGCTGGCGCATGCATAGTGCCCATCCCATCTAAAGAGTGAAATCACCAGGCAGCCTAGCGTTGCCAGGTCTTAGAAGTTTTTAAAGAGAAACTGGAAATCTATCGAGGTGGTTTTCCTGATTTTTAAATAACGGCTACTAATTCAAAATGTGTAAAACTCTGCACAACCGAAGTAGAACTTGTCTGTGGGTCAAACCTGGCCCCTGTTCTCAGATTAGTTTGTTTTACGGCCGTGATAAGTCACTCTCTTTGTCTGAGCCTCAGGTACCTTCATAACAAGGACCATTAGTGTACTGACCTCATGGGTTATTGTGAAGAATAAATACGCTCTGTGAATTACACACGCGCCTTACATTTCAATAAGGCTGTTCGGTCAGCAGGTGCCCTCGCTATGATACCGGTTCTGCAGCCCGCCCGCCGACTGGGCACTGACAGGTTCAGAGTAACTGCAGGGCTTTGCCTGCAGCGGCTCATGGCTGACACACCCTGGGCTGAGGGACAGACCCTTTTCTAGCAGACAGGGTCTCAGTGTCTGAGCGCTGTGTTCTAATGAGTGAAGCTCTCACGCTGTCTTCCGTGGAGCCACACGTTGTCCTGGGAGGCAGGGAGGTCCGGGAGAAAACCACGGGCTCTGGAGCCAGACACTTACTGACCAGGTGGCCACAGGCAGGTGGTCTCAGATCCCTGATTTTTAAAGGGAGAAAATAACGTCTACGACAAGGCCTGTTATGAGGATCACAAGATGGTTTATGCTGTGTGGTGTCTCCACTGTGCTGGGCCGTCAGCTGAAGGCACCCTAAGCCCTGCTCCCTTCTCATATTCCTGGGAACCCCAAAGGCACCCAAGGCAACAGTTCCTCTACTGCCTTGGTCCAAGGGCCCATCTGGGGCTGGGGCAAAGGGCCACCAAATATCTGGGGACCAAATCTACTGCATGAACACTCTGCTTCTGCTCCTCTGAACGGACCAGCTTTGTTGAGACGACCAAGAAAGGTGGCCCATGTGAATCACTAATTCACATCAGGAACAAAAAGAGAACCAATGTCACGTTATTAGCCTCAGTTTCCCAAGAAACCACCCTGGAGCTCCTGGAACGGCTGGAATATTTCTACGCAAGATGACACCAGACAGAACTGTTTCCCATCTTCTACACAAGCATCACCTTGGGGCATCTGCTGGGTCTCTAGAGCCCGGGTAGCGCGCCATTAGGGTTATCAGTGTGATCACAGTGACTGGTGCATGTTTACACTGCCAGCCCATGAGGAGTTTCAAGGGCCGCGGGCACCGGGAAAGCAGCCGGCCAGCAGGTGGACTGGGTACACCCGAGAACTAGTTGGGTGTGGAGCCAGCGGCCAGGCCACCACCTGCACAGGAGACCTGGCGCCCAAGCGCCCTGCTCTTACCTCCTCACGCAGCATGGAGAACAGGAAGCTCATGAGCACAGCGTGCTTGCGAGGGTACTTCTGACACAGTGCGCTGATGGCCTGGACCACCACCACCTGGGCCAAAGAGACATGCGTTAGCGGCAGCCCTGCCACCTGGTGGTTACTTCATGCACCCAGTGCCAGCAGAGTCCTTCCTCAGGCAGGGCCGGGCCCTGGGAGCAACAGGCCAAGACGCGAGGGGAGCCCCACCTCCACCCTCGGGGGGCCCACAGCCCCGAGACCCCCAGACAGGGAGGCATGCACAGAAGTCCCGAGGCCCAGATCCAGACTCTGGGTCCCTCTACTCAGACTTCAAGCAAAGTCCGCCAGCCCCTCCATCCCGCCTGTCCTGCTTCTCCCCTCCCCCACCATTCCCACCCCTGAGCCTTCCAGCTCAGGCTGCCCCTTGGGGTGCTCTGGCCCCAGCCCTCTACTCTTCTCAGTCTCTTTGGCAATCTCATCTCCTCCCGTGGTTTTAACCACCTCTTCTATGCCCCCAACGCCCAAATCTCTGTCTCTGGTCTGAGTTCAAGAGCAGTGCTTCCAAATGTCTACCACACAACTGCACCTGGTGCCCATGGGCACCTCAAACTTGGCCGCAATCACCACCATTACCCCCGCTTCCCTCCTCTCAGCCCTGACCATCTCCCTCCTTCCCCAAACGCATCCACAGCACCGTGAACCCCAACTAGAACACGGACTCACCTCTGAGGACGTTCACGCCCTCAGCTGTCACATGGCGCCCTGTTCCGCAGGGGCTCTGAGACCAGCCCCCCTCCCGCTTCCCAGGCCTGCGGGTGCCTTCGCCTCTCTGCCCAGCTCCCACCAAGCCTCAGTCCAGTTCACCCTCCAGCAGCTTGGGAAGGATCTCTCTACATGCAAGTCTCGCTGTGTCCTTCCACAGTCTACAAAGTATTCCTACAACCCACAGGCAGAGTTGATTCCACCTACTTTGTATCATTCCTGCTACAGAACTCACCATGCTCTATCACAGTCATTCACATTGCCGTCTGTCTGCCTCCTGCCCTGATTAAAGCTCTCCAACAACATACTAACGTTTATGTTAACTGTTGTGAAATAACATTGTTACAGAAGTTGAGAACAGCGTGTAGGGAGGGGAGGAGGGGATGGGTGCAGCTATGCAGGAAACGGCAGGGAGTCTCCTTGTGGTGGTGCAGTTGAGCATCCAGTATCTTACGCAGTTTCTCACACACACACACACACACACACACACACACGTGTAACTGGTGAGTAAAATGCGGCCTGTGCCTGTGCTGTGACACTGTCCTGTGGCCCTGCGGGTGCTGGAGGACGAGGCAGCTGGGGGAGGGGAGCACGGGAATTCTCAGTGTATTTCTTTACAACCTTCTGTGAATTGTTTGAAAATAAAAGTTTAGAGAACACTACAGAGAACGCTTTAGCAGCTTCCTTAAAGCCACAGCTCTTTATCACGAGCCCCCGGGCCTCACACGGTTTCGCCACCACCTGCTCCGACTTCATGGCCTCCACTGGCCGCAAAGCCCCCAACCTGGCACTTCAGCCCCTTCCTCTTGTTCCCAACACACTTGCTTCTGCCTTTTCTCCCATGTCTTCCCAGGTACCTCCCCGGGGCAGCTCCTCCTGGGAACCTCTACCCTGTGGGGTTTCCTCCCTGCACTAGTGTGTGAAATTACCGTGTCCCACCTCGTTGACTGTCCACCTCCCCTCCTCAGCAAGCAAGCTCCACGAGAGCAGGACAGGTCTGTCCACTGCTCTGTTCCCCTTTCTCCAAACTCTGCCCAGCACATGGCAAGCGCACAAGAAACACTGAAGAACTTAACAAGCTGGCCTGGAGGCTCCTGGCCTCGCTGGACAAAAGCCGGAAGCAGCATCGCGCTCACCTCTGCCAGCCCTCCGCCCCACCAGCCCCCCAGAACCTCCGCCCCGGCTCGGAGCGGGGACGCGGCAGGCGGGGGCTATGGACCTTGAACTCATCCGAGATCTCTGACATGAAGGAGGAGATCTGCTTCATGAGGCGGTCGATGCTGCCCTCGCTGCCCGTCTTGAGGAGAGTGGTGATGGCCAGCGTGGCGATGCTGCGGTTCGAGTCTGTAACCAGGTTCTCCAGGTCCAGGTTACAAGCTGTCACCGCAGATGGATGCTTCATGGCCACCTGTTTTGATTCGGGAGGAAAGACATGAGGACAGGGACGGGGTACAGCAGGTCCCCCACCGTTCCGCTGGTCCTTCGGGTGAGCTCAGGTCACTGCTGGAGGACAGAGGTGGGCCAGGGCTGCACCTCCCGCAGGGCGGGAGCCGGGAGACTCCCCCAGCCCCACTCCGCCCACTCCGAACTCACCTTGTTGAGGGTGCGGACGGCGGCATAACGGAGCGCAGCCTTGGGGGAGCTGCAGAAGAGCTGGAGCACTGCGGGGAGACAAATAAGGGTGCTGGGCTGCCGGGAAGCCCAGGGGCCCCCAAGAGGGGCAGGGACCGGGCACAGCGGCGGGGCACACATGCAAGGGCTCTGAGGCTGCGTCCAGCTGTCTTCCTGCTGGTGCCACCACCCCAACCAAGGAGACAGCCGTTCTCTGCGTGGGCACCTGAGCCTCGCACGGACCCGTGGGCACACTTGCAACCGCCCAGCGGTTCACACGTGGGAGCCTAGAGTGCCGGGCAGAGGGCTGAGCACTGCCTGCCATGTCCCCGTGAGTCCCCACACGCCTGCAAAGCAGCTCCCGTATCTCTCCATTTCAAAGACACAGAGGCCAAGGCACAAAGGGGCAGAGCGACTGAAGGAACGAGGCCAGCAGCCAGGAAGTGGCAGATCCAGGACTGACATCCGGGGCTGCCTGCCCCGGGGCCCAAGCCGTTGCCCTACCCGGGGTCCCGGCAGAGCATCGGCCGCCCCAGCCCGTGCCTTGGCTCAGGAAGCTCAGGCTCCGGGTGCACTCGCTGGAGCGGAGAACATGGCTGCTGTTTTCTGCGGTGTCTACGCTCCTCTCCTCATAACTTGGCTTCCATTCTCTTATACTTTTTCTGCACTTATTTACAGTTTTCTTAAACAACCCTTATTTTAAAAGCTCTCTCTGTTTGACTTTCGTTATTCTGGAACATGAGTAATAGAACAAGAAAGAACAAACATTCGAACCAGGGAATGAATTCATTTAGTTCTTTTGCTTCTGTCGCCAAGGAGGAGGAGAGACTTCTCTCTGCAAATGTGAACCCCATCTCTCCGCCTGACAGGCTTGCAACCTTATTCTGGAGAGCATGAGAAAAGCAGGAGGGCCAACCATTCCTCAACTTCTGCAGCTGGAACTCTCTGGCAGAACATCATGGCTTCCATTACTAGGCCTGTCCTTCTGGGACGCTTGCCCCTTCCCTCCTGCTCCAAGTCCCACTTCTCAATGCACCCGCCTTCCAGGACCGAACACTTAGCCCACCGTCACGTGCCTGCTACCCCGACATGTAGTGAGATCTCAACGCTCAGCACAGGGGCCTGCACGATCAAGGCACTGATCACTCAGCAGCTGGCCCGACAGCAGCGGGAGCCCAGCGGATTCTGCTGCACGACCGCCCAGAGCGCAGGTGCCGCGTGCACCACGCTGCCAGTGTAACGGCACGATTGCTATCCTTCCCGCAGAGAGGACAGCTGGCTCGCCCAGGCTCACCCAGCTGCCCTGCCACAGAGCCAGGACTGCAACCCACGCTCCTGTCCAGACTCTGACCAAGCCCTCTTTCTCCTCCCTGAGACGGCCCGGGCCCTGGCTTCATAAATGCGGGCTTCCTCCGCCGGGCCCTCCTGCCACGGCAGCCACCCACAGGCGGAAGAGCGCCTCTGAACCTCGCCTCCGCCACCCGCCAGAGCCCAGGTGAGAGGCCCTGGCCCGGCAGGGAGCAGGTGCTGCCTGGGGACTGATGCCCTCTCTTAACCGTAGCGTGCGGCCCGCCTGAGGGCATTTCCTTTCTTTCCCGTGCCCCCTGGCCCAGGGCCTAGCTTCTGGCAGGCACAGGCGTGCGGGGCTTGGGTGGGGAGCGCCTGGTCACCTGACACGGCCGGGGCCAGCTCCTTGGCACTGCAGCCCGGCAGGTTGACGATGGCCGAGGCGGCTTCGTACACCACCATCTCATGCTTGTTGCGCAAGCAGCTCTCGATGAAGTCGAACAGCGGGCTGTCGCGGCTGCGGGACAACAGGCGGCAAGAGGATGCTGGGGGGCCCGTCCGGAGACGGGCAAGGCCTCACGTGGCATGAGGGGGGACACAGTGCCACTACCTGCCGTCCTCCTCCTCCAGCTGCCGGCTGGCCACGCGGATCATCATGCAGTAGGCGAAGGGGGACTTGAGGCCGTGCCGCGTGAACTTGCTGATCATCTTGCTGACAGCCAGGCGGTCGTTCTTCCGCACGTGGTACAGGAGCCCCAGCGCGTGGTACTAGAGAGCGGGAAAGGGCAGCAGAGCACGGGCTTGTGAGGCCGGGCCCCCTGGCCGTGGGGCTCTGAAGGTCACGGTCCCTCTGGGCTCTGGCCTCCTCGTCTCTGGGATGGGCATCGTGGTCGCTTCCTCCAGAGCCTGGGTACGACCGTGCCCAACAAGCCACCTGGGCGTCTGCAGTCCTCATCCGCCCCCAGTTTCAGCAAGGGCCTCGACAGGCAGCGTGAGTGCAGGTGTGGAGAGGACAACAGGTGCCACAGATGGAAGACCAGGAGGAGACCAGGTGTCTCTGACCAGATAGAGAAAGCGGGAGCCAGGCCTCGAGGGGGACACGTGTCGTAAGGTGCTGTGCAGACGTGAGCCCTCACAGCGTCAGACCTTACGTGTGACACCGTGTGACAGGTACTTCTGCCCCCACTGCCCTGCCCAAGGACTTGTGGCTGCTGCCGGCAAGGCTACGTCTGCAGAGGGAAGGCACACGGAGTTACCTCCTGTCCCCTCTGCTCTTTCCTAATTCCTTACCAGGGTGACACTCAAGGGCCTTCTACGTGGGAAGCTTCTCTGACCCTGGGAAGGCTTTGAGGGGCCACAGCTGGTCCTGGAGATGAGACCCAGCACAAAGGGCACAGAGGGAGGGAACAGATGCCCACACAGGGAGGCTGCAGGCAGGCAGATGGGCAGAGGCTACAGAGGCTCTCATTTGATCCTCACAGCTTTGTGAGGCGAAGACTTTCTTTCCTGTTTTACAGACAAGGAAACTGAGACTCACGGAAATAAAGGGGTTCCTGGCTGAAGTCACTGAGGAAGAGATCAGCACCCGAAAGCCCCACCAGGATGCTTCCGTGCATCACTACCAAAGCCAGCTGGGCCAGGTCAGCTGCGTCGCATACCCCAAAACAACACCCTGGTTATCAAAACACTCGATACTTCGGTACCAGCTAGTAACGTCTCCAACCCAACTCCCCCTGCAAGTGGTGCCCTGGATTCTTTCCCCAAACCCCCCCAAGTCTCCCCACAACGACAAAACGATTAAAGCCTGCTCCAGCCAGGGGCCGCCAGGATCTCCGTGGTAAGAGTCCATGCTGTCTGGCCAGGACAGCGCCACCAGCCTAAGTATCTTCAACATCACTGCTTTGCTCACCTGGACCATGATGTTATCACTGGATGCCGCCTCCTGGGCCTCGTTCACCCAGCGCTTGACCACGTCGAAGCTGCACTTGAGCAGGTGCTGTGGGGCACAGGGCGCATTGAGGGGTGGGCGGGCAGGATGCTCTGCCATCACACCTCCCGGTCTGGCCACAGTTCAGCTGGCTCTGGGTCTTCCCTCAGAAACAGCCCAGGGCCCCTCTGTCGTCCGGGTCCTCTGAGAAGTGCACAGACTCGGGACAGCTCCCACCCTCACTCTCCCTGCCCTGGCAGACTTCCTGCCAGGCTCAAATTCCAAAAATCTGTCACCCCAAAGGATGGGTCAAGGCTGTCCAACTGGCCCCTCAATTAACCCAGAGTTCCCCGGGAGCTCTTCACTGAGAAGGGGGTGGGACTCTCAGATCTGGGGATATGAAGCTTTTCTTTTCTTTTGGAAAGCGACTTTGGTGTTTCTTCAGTCTCCCAATCCAGCGCCCGCCCCCAGCCCCTGCTGAGGCTACACACCAGGGAAGACACCAGAGCAGAGCTGGAGACGCTGGGCACCTTGTCCACGATGGCCTGCTTCATGTAGCGCTCGATAGCCTGTAGCATGGTGCTCTGCGGGGACAAGGGGTGGGCGGGAGGGGGCCCGGTCAGTCCCGGCCGCCCTCAGGAGTGCAGGAGACAGGGTGTGGAGGAGGGACGGCCAGGAGGGAGGAAGCAGGCTCATGTCCTGCGTCCCCACACCCCTCCCAGGAGCCGGGGGACGAGCTAGAGCACGTGAAGGGTGAGACCCCGCGGCGACCGAGCTGGCCAAGGGGGACTCACGTCAGTGATCTGGCAGAGGGCGCGCACGGCCGGGCCCCGGTAGCTGTCCTCCTTCCCAGTCATGTCCTTCGTCAAGCTGCAGGGACAAGGCGATGGCCTCACGCAGGGGCCGGGCCTGCCCCCCCGGCCCCGCCCTGCCCACCCCAGGTCACCACGCCAGTCTCCTAACGGGCGTCCTCCCTGTGCTCTTAACCCTTCCCCACCAAACACCACACAGCAGCCAGAGGGTTTTTCATAAAACTGAAAACCGACCGGGTCACTCCCCTGCTCTGACTGAAACCTTCCAGAGGCTTCCTGCTGCCATCCCCATCAGCCCCTCACAGAGACGTCCCCAAACAGGCCGTGCTCTCCACCCCAGGCCCTGGCACCTGCGTCCCCTCAGCCGACCGCACTGCCCCCCTCACCTCCACCTCTGTCCTGCTACTTCTCACTCAGCCCTCAGGACTCCACTCAGACAGTTCCAGGAGGCCTTTCCTGACCCAAATTCAAGTTGGCTGTCCTCCTGATCTGCTCTCAGAGCCGTCACACTTCCCTAATGCCTGTCTGCTGGGTTACTTCTCGGTAAATTCTGGGGCTGCAGGGGCCATGCCTGTCGTGTTTGCTGCTCTATTCCCAGAGTTACACGGGGGCTGACAGACGATAAATATTGTCTAAATGAACCTACACACGAATGTATAACGTCCCCCCCGAAACTGTGGCAAGAAGCAATAAAAGAACTGAGCCCAGGGATTATATTTCAGTCCACTCTGTCCCCTGAATCCCTCAGCCTAACACTTAGTGGGCAAAGCAGTCCTTAGTGAGTGAGTCTGCCTGTGCTCCCCATGTATATATACCCCTACGTGTATCCTCCCTGGGCTTTCTCTTGGTACTCGCTAGAGTCTTTGTGAAACTTCCGGCTGCCTCAGTTGACTGAGAGGAATCAAGGGAAGGAAGGCTCTGTGCCTAAGTTCAGGCCAGAGAATTAAAAGGGAAACTGCCCACCCTGGAGGCCGCCACTGGTGGGCAGGGTGACTGAAGGACGAGGGAGACAGGAGAGCAAAGCAGAAAAGGGCACGGGCGGGCTTCCCTGGTGGCGCAGTGATTCAGAATCTGCCTGCCTATGCAGGGGACACAGGTTCGAGCCCTGGTCTGGGAAGATCCCACATGCCACAGAGCAACTAGGCCCGTGAGCCACAGCTACTGAGCCTGCGCGTCTGGAGCCTGTGCTCCGCAGCAAGAGAGGCCGCGATAGTGAGAGGCCCGCGCACCGTGATGAAGAGTGGCCCCCGCTCGCCACAACTAGAGAAAGCCCTCAAACAGAAACAAAGACCCAAACACAGCCAAAAATGAAAGAAATGAAAGAAAAGAAGGAAGGAAGGAAGAACTGAGTTAAAAATTTAAAAAAAAAAAAAAAGGGCGCAGGCAATGCGTAAGCCGAAGTCTGAGCGCCTGGTACTCGTGAGAAGATGGGCTCTGTGTCGGTGGATCATTCAGAGACCAAGACTCGCCTGCTGGTCACAATGATGACATCCTCTGCGATGCAGGACATCTCCTTGATGGTCAAGTAACACATCCGACGGAGGGTGGGCTGCGCAAGAGATGCGAAAAGCCCTCTGACCCCTGGCACAGCATGAGGCAGCCTTGCTGACAGGAGGCCCTCCCACCACCCTGTCAGAGCTGCCCCCTCTGGAGGAGGGCTGGGGTGGGGACACTTACATCGTTGGACTGAAAGAGTTTGGTCATGGCAAAGAAGGCCTCGGTTGCTTCTGTGGTCCCCAGGTGCTCCCCCTGTTATAATCAAGAAAGAAGTCTCAGCTTGGGACAGACGAGCCAGAATGCTCTTCCTGCCGGATCAGCCCAGGCCAGACCCTCGGACCCTGCAGAGGCTCCGTCAAGGGCGACACACCGGAGTGGGACGCTGAGGGGACCCAGAGCTGGGCCGCTGGCTACAAATACACAGGGGCTGTGCCCCTGCCCCCAACACACCCCAGTACCATCTTCCCCACCCCCAAGCCTCACCCTGTTACCTGGTTTATGAGGTAGAGGATCTTGGTGAGGATGTGGGCACATTTCCGAGGATTGATGGGAGTTTCGTTAAACACGCGGGCCTAGGAAGAAGCGACCAAGGATATTACCTTCTGGCTGAGTTTATTTCCCTTCCCTGACTGCCCTCAAGCACGTCGAGGTCTGAGAAGGCCCAGTGTAAATAAATACACTTGCCCAACCTTATTTTCATAAGGAAAGAGTCTTGTTTTGCTTTTTTCTTACTTTACCTATTAACAACTCCTGAAATTTTCCCTAAATATTAGCTGAGGATGTGCTGACTTAGTAACTAATGGATAGTCAGACAACGCTTATTTTTATTTATTTATTTATTTATTTATTTATTGCGGTATGTGGGCCTCTCACTGTTGTGGCCTCTCCCGTTGCAGAGCACAGGCTCTAGACGCACAGGCTCAGCAGCCATGGCTCACGGGCCCAACCACTCCGCGGCATGTGGGATCTTCCCGGACCAGGGCACGAACCCGCGTCCCCTGCATCGGCAGGCGGACTCTCAACCACTGAGCCATCAGGGAAGCCTGGCAACGCTTGTTAATTAACTAGAAGGAGAAACGAAAACAAAGAAAAAGACAGGCCTAATGAACCCTCCCCGGGAACAAAGTGCCCCCGTCTTTCCAGGAGCAGGTCTCTCCCCTGCTGTCCTTTAAACCAGCACTCTGAACGCGCCCGCACGCCGACTAGGAACACTCGTGACGGAAGAGACGGGAGCAAATGACACTTGCCTCCTGGAGCACTGCGCTCTTCTCAAGGTGCTGGAACGGGTTGGAGCCTCCACCTACAGTCAGAGCACAGGCAGGACTGAGCACAGGCTGCGACCCTGAATTTCAGAACTCTCTCAGACGTAGCCAAGGGAAACATGTCCCAGTGCCCAACCTAGTCAAGTTCCAACTCCTCTGAGTGGCAACCAAAGCTCTACAAACTGCCAGTAGATCCAGCCATCCTCCTGCAAGGGGAGCTCCCTCCATCCCAAGCCACTGACTCACAGTCACCCAGCAGCCCTGGTACAGTCCTTGTGTGCTTCTCAGAGTGTCACGTCTTGCATTCATTTATGCAACTGGTACTTAACTGAGTTCCTACTACGTGCGGGACCACCACTTCCAGCGACTAGGGTCTGTGCTTGGCAGATATCACACGTGTAATTAGTTACACACCTCAGTATCTGACTGACGTCTGTTTCCTCCACTACGTCGCGACCATTCTAATATTCCGGGCTCGAGCACTGAGCGTCTCACTTGTTCTACTGCAATGTCAGTGCACAGTACAGCCTGGCATGCAGTAAGCGCTCAATATATGTTTACTGGGTAAATGCATGAGAGTCAGGGTTCTCAGCCACGGGACACTGTGCTCCCCAGTCCGGTCAGCACCGACGCAGCCCCAGCGAATCCCCACAAGAGCATCGCGCGCGGCGCCCTCCCCTAACAGATGGGGAAACTGAGGCCCAGAGAGGCGTGCGACCCGCCCAAGGTCACCCAGCGAATCGCGGTCCGAGCTTACGAGTGCGGGGCAGTGGAGCCTGTTCGGGCTCTCCAGGGCTTGCCACTGACCGGCGGCAGCCCCTCGCACAAGCCCCCGTCCCTCCCGGGGCCTCGGGTCGGGACAGAGGCCGCCGGGGAGGCCGCCGAGAGCCTGGGCATAGGTCCGGCCTCCCCCAGGCCTCGCCCCCCTCACCCGATTCCTCGTCCTTCTTGTCAAATTTCTTCAGCATGGTGGTGCCGGCGGGGGCGCGAACCAGCACCTGGCACGGGACTGACCGACTGACTACGGTGGTCCTCCGGAGGTTCCGCACGGGCCACTTCCGGCCGGCCACGTCGCCCGGCGCTGTGCGCAGGCGCACTCCGCGCTCCGCGCATGCGCACATCCGGGACGCTTCGCCCCGTCAGGCGTAACCCCGTCCCTGCCAGGAGGGGCCGGGGCTTAATTCGGGGCCTTACGCCCTCCTCTCGGTGCATTCGTTCCCGCCTCATGCCTGTGGCGGGAGTTTAAATGTGCTTTCGGAGGCGAGGCCCTAGCACGCTGGCCCGAGCAGCCGCCCACCTCCGAGGTGCTACCTCTTCTGGTCACCTCCTCCCGGAGGCCCGCCAGCCTCGCCTCACTTCAGCCCCTCCCCTGCCGGATTTCTCTGCCTACCTCGAATCGCCGTCTGACACACTAACTACATTCTTACTTTACCGCTTTGACTGTCTTTTATTCCCTGCGGTGGATGATGTTCACATACAGTAGGTGCTCAGACAATTGTTGCGTGAATGGGCTTCTACAGTTCAACTCTGCCCACCCCCCTCACATCCGCTCCCGGTGCGAACTGCTTGGTACTTGGCTAACTTCCAGGGATCTGACTAGCGTGAAAGGTCGGCGCGGCAACGTTCACTTGCTCTTGAAATCTGTGGGTATTTATCGAGCACCTACTGGATGCGCCGCCTGGCGCTGGGGGAGGGAAAGGACGCGAAGGAGAGACGGACGTCGCCCAGGGTTACCTCCACGGACCTGGGAAGACACCCCGAGGCCAAGGTGAGGACTTGCGCGACACCGAGACGGAGTCCCCTGGCCCGAGGGGAGGAGTCCAGGTGAGCCGGGGCGCGGGCGGTGCCCAAGGTGCGGGGGGCGTGGACCGCAACGCGCCGGGACCCCGGACGCACAGGCGCCCGCCTCTGCAGTCCTGCTTTGCAGAAGCTGGGGCCCGGGGGCCGCGGGGGAGGGGGGGCGGGGGTCTTGCGCCTACGTGAAATTGTCAAGAGCCGGAAAGATGTGCAAAATCTTTAACCAGTAACCCCACCCCTTCCTTATCCGGAGGAAATCATCCAAAGGAAGAAAATCAAGTTGCTCACTGCAGCAGTTTGGAGCAAGATAATTGGAAACACCCTAAATGCCCAGCAGTAAAGGGATGATTAAGGGGATTGTGGTGCCTCCATCGGATGAAACATTCCACACCCTTCTAAAGGGATATTTCTGAGGACTTGGGAGGCAGTGTCCAAACTTCTTAAACAAAATGAGACGTTAAAGGGGAGAAGCAGGGTGTAAAAGTGTTCATAATTAAGGTGAAATAAGTATGCCTCACGGTTAAAAGCCAGAAAAGAACCCCAGAGTTTTTCGTTGTTGTGTTAAGACCGTGAAGTACAGATAAAGTGTGTTGAGATAAATATCCTTTTATATTATGATATTAATTCTATAGAACTATATACCAAGGGCAATTTTTATAATACCTCATTTTTATAATGAGAATTGTGGGTTGTGAGTCCAGTTTTCTGTATAAGCTAATACGTAACTGTAGGGTTTTTATTATTTTTAAACTGTAATATACATTCTTTTTTTAAAAAATATTTGCAAGGTTCATCCATATTACAGCATGTATCAGTACTTCATTCCTTTTTAAAAAAAATTTTTAGTTATTATTTATTTATTTTGGAACCGGGGCCCCCTGCCCTGGGAGTGTGGAGTCTTACCCACTGGACCACCAGGGAAGTCCCTTTAATATACATTCTTCATGATAATTGCTGAGTCCTTTGTAGAAACACAGGATACTGAAAGTACAGGAGAAATTAGGGAATCTGAATAAGATTAGTAGGTTGTACCAATATCAATAACCTGCTTGTGGTATTTTTTTTGTTAACATTACTCGTTTTGAAAAATTGAGATATAATCCACATATCTTAAGATTCACCCTTTTATAAGTGTACACTTCAGTGGTTCTTAGTATATTCAAACAGTTGAGCGTGCATCACCACTACTTCCAGAACATTCTCATTACCCCAAAGAAATCTGTCTCCATTACTCGTCATTCACCATCCCTCACTCTCCGCCCCAGCCATTGATCTACTTTCTGTCTCTGTGGATTTGCCTGTTCTGGGTATTTCATGTAAATAGAGTCATACGACGTGGCCTTTTGTGTGTCTGCTTCTTTCACTTAGCATAGTGTTTTCAAGGTTCACGTCACAGCATCAGTCAGTATCTCATTCTCTTTTATTGCTGAATTATATTGCATTTATGAACATACACACACACACACACACATATTTTGTTTATTTAACATTCATCAGTTAATGGACACTTGGGCTGTTTCCACTTTTTGACTCTTGTGAATAATGCTGCTGTGAATACTTGTGTACAAGCTTTTGTGTGACACATGTTTTCATTTCTCTGGAGCATATAAGAGTAGAAATGCTGGTCATATGATAACTCTGTTTAACTTTTTGCAAAACTGCCTGGTTTCCAAAGCATCTGCCCCACTTTATTTTCCCACTAGCAGTGTATTAAAGTTTCCAATTTCTCCACATCCTCAGTAACATTTATTGACTTTTTGATTATAGCCATTCTAGTGGGCTTCTCATTGCAGTGGCTTCTCTTGCTGCGGAGCACGGGCTGTAGGCGTGTGGGCTTCAGTAGTCGCGATGTGTGGGCTCAGTAGTTGTGGCTCTCGGGCTGTAGAGCGCAGGCTCACTAGTTGTGGTGCACGGGCTTAGTTGCTCTGCATGTGGGATCTTCCTGGACCAGGGCTTGAACCCGTGTCCCCTGCATTGTCAGGCGGATTCTTAACCGTTGCGCCACCAGGGAAGACCCACAAGTATCTTTTTGAATTAGAGTTTTCGTCTTTTCCTGATATACCCCTCAGGAGGGGTATTGCTGGATCATATGGTAGTTCTATTTTTAGTTTTTTTTTTTTTAAAGGAACCTGCATACTGTTCTCTATAGTGGCTGCACCAATTTACATTCCCACCCACACTGTAGGAGAGTTCCTTTTTCTCCACATCCTCTGCAGCATTTATTATTTGTAAACTTTTTGATGATGGCCATTCTGACTGGCGTGAGGTGATACCTCACTGTGGTTTTGATTTGCATTTCTCTAACGATTAGCAATGTTGAACATCTTTTCATGTGCCTGTTGGCCATCTGGGTATCTTCTTTGTAGAAATGTCTATTTAGGTCTTCTGCCCATATTTTGATTGAGTTGTTTGGTTTTTTTATATTGAGCTGTATCGAACAGCACAGTTTTATGTTATCTTCCAAAGATTTTAAATTTGCCTTTCACATTTAAGTTCTGACTTCATCATAATTTTTTTTGTGTGTGTGGTGTGAGGTAAGGAGTCAATTTCATTTTTTTTCCATTTGGATAATCAATTGCCTAACACATTTTATTGAATAATCCTTTCTTTCCACACTGATTTGCAAGGCCATTTTTGCCCCCTATCAAACTTCCATTTATATGCTGTTTGTATGTTATCTATCAAGGGCCATCTCTGTGGGTCTGTTTCTGGGCTTCCTATTCTGTATCATTGTCAGTCTGTCTATCCCTGTGTCAATTCCGTACTGCGTTAATCATCATAGTCAGGATAAGCATTGATGTTAGTATCTAGGAAGGCGAGTCCTTCCATCTTATTCTCAGAGCATGTCTTGCCTCTGCTTGTTCCATAGACAAACCATGGGATTTTAATTAGAATTGAATTAAATCAGGCTTTTCTGGTGGCGCAGTGGTTAAGAATCCACCTGCCAATGCAGGGGACACGGGTTCGAGCCCTGGTCTGGGAAGATCCCACGTGCTGTGGAACAACTAAGCCCATGCGCCACAGCTACTGAGCCCGCGAGCCACAACTACTGAGCCCGCATGCCACAACTACTGAAGCCTGTGCGCCTTGAGCCCGTGCTCCACAGCAAGAGAAGCCGCTGCAATGAGAAGCCCACACACTGCAACGAGGAGTAGCCCCCCCCTCACCGCAACTAGAGAAAGCCCGCAAGCCCGCGCACAGCAACGAAGACCCAACACAGCCAAAAATAAATAAAATGAAAAATAAATAAATTAAAAAAATAAAGGTAACCTTGGTACTTGCATTTCCCCCAGTGTCTCTGACAGGTGCCAGGTACTGTGTTTATGGGCTGCACAAGCTCTCTAATTTAATTCTCACAGTCTCCATTTTCCAAGTTCACTGAAGCTGACAGAATTTGATGATTTGACAAAAGTTGCCCGGGGGAGGCAGCGGAAGAGCCAAAGTTTGAACCCAAGTCTGTCTGACTACAAGTTTTTTTTTTTAAAGATATATTTATTATTTTTAAATTTTATTTATTTTTGGCTGCATCGGGTCTTAGTTGTGGTGCGTGGGGTTCTCTCTAGTTGTGACGTGCGGGTTTTCTCCTCTCTAGTTGTGGCGTGCAGGCTTCAGGGCGCGTGGGCTCTGTAGTTGTGGTGCAGGGGTTCCAGAACGCGTGGGCTCTGTAGTTTGTGGCACGCAGGCTCTCTCGTTGAGGCACCCGAGCTCAGTAGTTGTGGCGCATGGGCTTAGTTGCCCTGCGGCACGTGGGATCTTAGTTCCCTGACCAGGGATCAACCCTGTGTCTCCTGCATTGCAAGGTGGATTCTTTACCACTGGACCACTAGGGAAGTCCCCACGCCTCTAGCTTTAATGCACCAAAGCGTCTTCCTCTCAGGCATTTAGCTGTTTCCAGTTTCTCCACGGGTAAACGACATTGTGATAAACATCTCTGGTATACATTTTGCCCCTGTTTCCAGAAAGTTCATGTCAGTTTTACTTCCCCAGCTAGTTCTAGTGTCAGCATTTACCAATCAGTGCCCCCGTTGAACAACCAGCAAAAGAAACTGACATTTCCACAGCCGCTTCTTTGCGCCACATGGGACGCTAACTCATTCTCTTACGTTATCTCATTTGATCGTCACAGCAACACCAGGAAACTGAAGCTCAGAGAGGTACATTCATTTGCTCAAGATCACACAGCAAGCTAGGGACACAAAGCAGCCAGAGGGTTAACAACTTCTTAAAAGCTTCCAGGACTTCCCTGGTGGTCCGATGGTTAAGACTCCGTGCTTCCACTGCGGGGGGCATGGGTTCAA